TCAAATTGATGACAAGTTGTGCACAAGTTATATCCTCTGACACTGATCAACAGGAAAGAGACCAGCGTTTCAGGAGTAAGACATGGCGTCAGCTACAGGAGCCCTTTCTCAAGGAGTGTGCTGATGTATTCCTTGGATGAATCAGTCCCAGGGCCCTTTCCTTTAGATGTGTGAGTGAGGGCAGATGCCTCTGTGTCTGAAATAGGGGACAGGCATTGCTAACTAAAGACGGGCCAAGTGACGAGAGGATTTGGGAATTACACAGCTCCTCCCGTAGCAAATCCATTGTATTTTTGGACAACGAAAGAAGGAATGACTTTTAGACCCAGGAAAGCCTACTCAGTATCTAGTATTTGTTATTCCTTGTGTGTCTAGCAAAGCATCTCTAAGATTTGGTTTCTTTTCCTGATACATTTGGGGAGATGAGAAGTAAATACATTATTCTCAGTGAACTAGATACAATGTCTCACCCACGATCCCATGACTCAGAACCAGTATTTGACTTAACAAAAGAATTCTCCAAAATAATGATCTTCTCTAACATATTTAAGGCTATTTGTTTAGTGATCATCTCTTAATTTTCAAATGTAAAGGTAAAGTGATGAAACTACCACTATTTGAAAGACATGAGAAAAATAATATGACTTGTGTCTAAAAGTGTAATGGAAATGAGTTAAAACTTAACTGGTTTACAGAAGCTAGGACATTAGCTAACCACCCACCACCTGCTGTTTTTGAGCATTCATCAGTGAGTCAGTTACATCAAATAGGTACCACTGATGCCGTATTATAAAAAAAAACTTTAAGGGACCAGCGTCTTTGCTCCTTTGATTCGTGTCAGGGCAGGGTACACAAGGTTTATTGTAATAGGACTCTAGAAATTCAGACTGAATTCAACATTCTCTCCTTTCCTTCCTGCCCTCTGCTGGAAGTTTTCCTTGGAGCCAGAGCCGGAGACAAAGGGAGCCCAGGGCCCAGCAGCCTCAGCTTCCTCCCATTGCAGAAATCACACTGACCACAGCAGAAAGGATGGAGTGGAGTGACCTTGGCTTGGGTGGGAATTGCAGCAAGATTTTATTAAGAGTTTTCTAAAAGAAGTTAGTGTTTTATTTAAAAATTAGATATCATTTATGTGAATCCTCACCCATAGATAGGGGACCACAAATAGTCTTTTCACTCAGTTCCAGTGAATTTTTTTGTTTTATTTCAAATTTTCCCCTAAATTATCTTGACTGTTAAAATTAGAGGATTGACTTTCATCCCCATATCTATTAATGTTATAAAGAATAATTCACATGTGCTATGTAGAATAATTATTAAAGAGGAATAATACAAAATCACTTGTCCTCTCTTTCTGGAGTGGTGATCACTTTGTCTTTCAGGTTTTATATGTGGATACACATTCATATTTTATTTAAAAGTCGTTGTATTTAATCTGTTTTTCAATCTGCTTAATATGCTCTGACCATCTTGTCCTGTAAATAACTGTCCATATTTAACACACACACACACACACACACACCATGTATACACAGACATGTCGCTCTCCCCAGTGTCTGACCTTATCATTTGGTTCATCTTTGTCAATTTTTCTTTCCTTTTTCCTTCACCTGTCAGTTCTGAGACCACTGCTCTACTGTTGGGGGTGTTAATTTTAAAAAAAGAAAGTTTTAGTATCTAGCAGGGCAGATCACCCCCCACCCCCAAATTGCTTAATTAAAAAAAAATTTTTTTTTGTTATTGTCATGCATTTTCAAATGAGTTCATTGCATTTTAGAAGATCTAGAAATAATTCCTTTGGGATTTTCTTGGGGTTTTCATGAAAACTGTAGGCCAACTTCATAAGACTTCAGCTCTTCAGTGAGAATTCTGTCTTGTCATCCAGGTACACACTGTATCTTTCCATTTACTTTGCTCTCCTCTGTCCCTCAATAAAGTGTTTTTGTTTTCCGTGTAGCTAGTATACACACATCTGTTTTTGTTCATTATTAACTTTGAGAGCTATGGACTTGCCCTTGTTTACAACTTTGATTGCATCCCCTAAAGTTTAGGTTTGTACTATTTGTATTTTCATTTTCTAAGTGCTCTGGCTGCAGTTTGATTTCCTCTTTTACCCAAGGATAGAGAGTATTTATTTTTTTAGTTCCGTTTTTTTCCCTCTTGTTTTGCTCTTCTTATCCTTTGTTATTAATTTCTTGCTTTATTTTCTTGTCACCTGAGAATAAAGAGAATTATTCCTGAAGTTCTTTTGTGCTTTACGTTATGTCTCATTCATGTGGTAGGAGTGGGAAATTTTTTCCTTATTCCCTAGATACGTTTTATTGTTTTCAAATACTGAATTTTTCCATATTGTCAGTGTTTTCTTCTTGTGAGCTCATATTTATGATATATGGCTGTGAAGTTCTCCATAGATTTTGTGAGAGCTTGTCCAAATCTTTTACTTTAGACAGTGGTGGGAGAGCTTTTATGTTTTGCATTTTGCTGAATTGGAACATAATTGTCGGGAAAATGGATACAAAAGAATGCATTAGGTTGGCCAAAAAGTTCGTTTGGGTTTCCTGTATGATATCACAGAGAAATCCAAATGAACATTTTTGGCTAACCCTAGTAATTATTGGCGCAGCTGGGAAGTGCTGTATTTTAAAAAATAAAAAATAAAAAAAAACCAGAAACAAAACTTGTTTTCTGTACTTATTAAGGCAGGTACCGCCCGCCTCAGTAACGGGCACAGTTGCCCTCGGGAGGCCCCCTCCAGTACCAGCCTGCCTGCTTTTTCCTTCCAAGCTGTCTCTCCGAGCAGCGGCCAGCGTGGCAGTTCAGGTGTGCTGTTGGCAGTGCTGATCAGGCCGTGTGCCTGCCTGAGATTTCCCCTCTGCTCCCCTCGGCCCCAGCCGCCACCGCACTGCGGCCTCCTGCTGTATCCTTGACCGAGGCGGGCTCTTCCTTGTAATGAGTCAGCTCACAGCCTTCACCCGGATCCTCCTGTTATGTTTTACAGAACTTCTAATTTGAAATTGAGGGTGTATTTAATTTTTCTGACCCAGGTGCAGACTGTTCCCCTTTTAATACTCTATTGGCCGTTTCTCGGTGGGTGTTGGAGAGGGAGACGCCTCTCCCTGCATCTCCTTGCCTCTCCCCCTGGCCTTCCCGCAGAGCCGCCCTTCCAACAGGTGCTGCTGGAGCTCCCCCTGGCCCCGCTCCTCATGCTGAATACAGTTGTCAGTAGCTACCTGTCTTTAGTGGAGTGTGACCTGATGTGTGGTAGAGCCATACTCTCAAGCTTTCGCCTCAGACCTGTCCCACCACAAAACCCCGCACGCCCTCAGTGACCGCCGCCTTCGCTCTGTTCTCTGCGTCATGACCCAAGGCAGAGGCTGAGTCACAGCTGGAGGCCGAATCTAAGGGTCGCTAACTGGAGGCAGGCAGCCTTGGTGGTGGGGAGAATTTCTTAGAATCTGGGCCAGTCGAGACGGCTTAGAAGGTCACTGAGCATGTACAAGAGCTCTATCCTGTGTGTATCCGATGGGAATACAGGACCACATGTCTTTAGTAAAGTTCTGCCTCTAGTCTCCACTAAGGATGTTGTAAGGCTGCCTTGCTCTTGCATGGATGACAGAGAACTTTAAACATTTCTGGCACTTTTATGAGACTAAATTCAGCTTATTTATGATGATGGCTACTTATTTAATTATAACTCCCCCTCACCTGTGTTTTTTGTGTGTGTTTGTGTGTGTGTGTGTGTGTGTGTGTGCGCGCCCCTCTGGCTACTGAGAAAGATACATAAAAATATTAATAATATGAGTTTACTTTCTGTTCCCTTTTTTTCTTCCTTTTTTGGAGGTGGGGTATTATACTAAGGTACATTGAAATTGACACTTATAATAGGAATTTTAAAAATTCCATTAAGGAATACTTGTAAAAGATAACTTTTAGAATTATATGTCTAACTTACATATTTTAAGTTCTACATTGTATAAATTATATATGTTGTATGTATTGTTATATATTGTATAAAAGTCTTTTCTTAGAGGATTTAAATTGGATATAGCAAGAAAAAAATTTTTTGATTCTTCAATAATGTTGTGATTTCTAGAACCACATCTGAATGTAGAGGGTTTGACCAGTTATTTTTGGTCATAAAATTTATTCAACATATTTTTTTGATAGGTAGCTACTCTGAAATTTCTGTAGAAGTTAAATTCTAAAGCAGATTTCTCTTGTGACGTGAATAATTACTGCTGAAGTCATTGTTAATTTTTCTTGAGTTAAAGACCCTTTCTAATCATGCAGCTGAATCTGTGACTAAACTTATTTTCAGAGAAAAGTTCTAAAGTTTTGATTTCCCAAATTACTAAATAACTTAATCCTGGTCAATTACTTGAAGAACTTTGTGATAAAAGTCTTTTGGCTAAATACCATACATGCTCTTTTTTCTCTGACTTTTGGTGTTTTGATGCCATCTTGTGGCTGGACTGTGTAATAACTTCAATACTGAAACATTTTAAACGGTGTCCTGGACAGGATACGATAGACTGGAGATACTTTCCAAAATGCGAATCATATGCCACTATAAGTCTGTATTTAAAATATTGAGAGTGCTTTCTTTGTTACTTGGATTTGTGGACACAGTGGGAGGAGAGGGTGGGACGGATTGAGAAAGTAGTATCGACATATAGACACTATTATGTGTGTAATTGATGGCTAGTGGGAAGTTGCTGTGTAACACAGGAATCTCAGCCTGGTGCTCTGCGATGAGCTAGAGGGGTGGAATCGGGGGTGGGAAATGGGAGGGGCATTCAAGAGAGAGGGAATATATGTATACACATGGCTGGTTCATGATGTTGTACAGCAGAAAATAGCACAGCATCGTAAAGCAATTATCCTCCAATTAATTATTTTTTAAATTTGTTTGTTACTTGTTCAATGTCCAGGCAAAAATAATGAGTTTAACGTATAGCTCTTGGTTTTTAAAATTCTGTTTTTATGATATTTGCCCCTAGTTGCTGCTGTTTGAACGATCTTGGATGAGCAGATGGAAGTCTTCAGTTCTGCATGAAGGGGAAGGGAACATAAGGAGTGTGAAGTGGAGGGGCCATCTGATCGCCTGGGCCAATAATATGGTAAAAGTGCATCTCCATGTCTCTAAGGCTTGTTCAGAGCCAGAAGTATGGCCAGATCCAGAGGGCTGTGACAAAGGGTGGGGATGCCACTCTCCCACCGCCACTTCTGAAGGGTGCACGTGGCGATTGATACCATACCCGGAAGGGTAAAGAAATTAGATTGCTTCTGGCTTTCATCACAGAGTAATTTCCAACATATTCTGGACTCTGTTTTAGAGGGAGAAACCCGAGGCATGGAGAATAGCCAAGAAAATGAAAAGGCATCTTAATAATGGAAGGGCTGCAATGGGAACATGGTTTTGAAAATACCATTTGCCTATTAGCCAAGGGCAAGTGCCAGTCGATATGAAACAAGGGCAGGATATTGCTGATTTCTTTTACTCCCAGAATAATCACAGACCCAAAATAGGCCTGCCTTTGAAAAAGTGGATCCTAATTTTTGATGCTTCACTTACCTCAGTTCAATTCAGTCGCTCAGTTGTGTTCGACTCTTTGCGACCCCATGAATCGCAGCACACCAGGCCTCCCTGTCCATCACCGACTCCTGGAGTTTACTCAAACTCATGTCCATCGAGTTGGTGATGCCATCCAACCATCTCATCCTCTGTCATCCCCTTCTCCTCCTGCCCTCAATCTTTCCCGGCATCAGGGTCTTTTCAAATGAGTCAGCTATCCACATGAGGTGGCCAAAGTATTGGAGTTTCAGCTTCCACATCACTTACCTCAAGTTTCGTCAATATGAGTTAGGGCGAATAGAAAGTTTAAAAACTACCTTTAGGACATCTGGCATACCTATAGCTTTTGGAATCTTGATGTACAATTTTTCAAATCAGTGCTATTCCTTTTTTTATTTTGCCATGCTGCACATCATGTGAGATCTGTTCCCCAGCCCGGTATCAAACCCATAGCCCTGGCGTTTGGGATTCCCCAGCTATTCCATTTTGCATGGTAGAAACCTCCCAGAAGCTGCTGTGCTAGTTGGGACTTTTCCTACGTCTCCTGGGTCAGAGTCATGGTCAACAGATGTATGGCCTCTTGGTTTATTGTCATTTAGCTGCTTGCTCAATGTTTCTTAATTTGAGTACTTTAAAATATCAGGTGTAGTTTTCTTTACCTAGTGGGTTTTCAGATTCAGAACTTTTCTTAAAACCAAACCCCATACTTGAGGTGTAACAATACATATATAAATGTTTCTTGTCTGTCATTTTGGAAACGTTGCTGATATCTATACATCCACCATTTGTGTTGCCTGTGCCACCTGCTCATAAAATCTCGTTTGCCTGAGAAGAAGGACGGAGGTTTCCTTTTGTTCGGGCTTTTCACCAGATTCGTGTGGAGTCAGAACGTTTCTGTGGTTCCCAGTGGCACCCAATAAACATTGTCAGGACTTTGCAGTGCTTGTTACCACTGGTGTATAGCAGTGGCCGTTATTAAGTTGCCTTTCACTTTCCTTCTCTCGAGTCAAGGATGCTTAGTGCTACTTTATTTTCCAGGGCGTGAAGATTTTTGACATCACCTCAAAGCAGAGAATCACGAACGTGCCCCGGGATGATATAAGTCTTCGCCCAGATATGTATCCCTGTAGCCTCTGCTGGAAGGACAGTGTGACGCTGATCATCGGCTGGGGGACGTCCGTCAAGGTGGGTTTACTTGTCTTTCTCATGAGTCCATATTGTTACAGAGCTACTGACGATGGTCCAGAGGAATGAGTTCTTCTGTGTGTGTGTGTGTGGACCATTTCTGAAGTCCTTATTGAATCTGTTATGGCATTGCCTGTGTTCTGTGTTCTGGTCCCTTGGCCCCGAGACATGTGGGATCTTAATTCCCTGACCAGGGATCAGACCCTCACCCCTTGCATTGGAAGGCCAAGTCCCAACCACTGGACCTCCAGGAAAGTCCAAGAATATGAGTTCTTGAATGGCTTCTCAGAGCCAAAATATTTCCACCTGCATATTATGGTCATGGGATAAGCGTGAGTTTTCAGATCTGTCCTTTCTCATGACCTTATCCATGTTCAGAATGTGTAGCCTTTCTGATCTTTTTTTAATTTCCTGTCACCCAGTTGGCCTTAGCTGTTTATGGAATATGCGTTGTGTTGCTGGTTCACCTGGGTCCCTTTTTTTGTTTCCTTCCATTTCCCTTAGCTTTGATCCTAAGCTTCTTCAGTAGAACTGATGGTGGAAAAAGAAGGTTGAAATGAAATCATCCTGCTTGCTCGCTAGTAGTTTGGTGGAGTAAAGGCACAGGCTTATTATGGACGATACGACTTGGGGCTGTTTTGTCACATATGTCGCCTGCCTTTTATGTGCCTGGGTACATGAAGCTGTTCTGCAAAACGAGGCCCGAAGTCCATTCACCTTTATTTTGTACCTAGTAGCACTTGTCTTGTGTTAGGTATTTCAGAGCAAAAGTTGTTTGTTTCCCTTTAAAAATATATACATTCATCTAAATAAAGTAAAACTTAGCTGAGATAAAGATGGTGTAAGAAGATATCCCAGCAGTAGTCTGACGGAAGGGCTCAGGCTGTAGAGTCGCAGGACCTGGAATCCATTCCAGTTTTCCCACTGAACTTCCTGTGTGACCCTCTCTAAGCCTCACTCTCCTCATCTGCAAAATGGGAGCACTGATAGTTCTCATATCACACATTTTGGGGCAGTTTAATGAAGAACTTAGTATAGGATCTGGCATACCATGCATAGGAAATGTAAGCTGTCATAGTTAATGTCAGAAAATTCCAGAAAGGTCATGAAAGAGACATGGCTATTGGAAATTCCTCTGTGAAAAAGAAAGCATAAAAATTATTAATGTGGTGATTGTTTTCATCAAAATAAGCATTATTAATTTGAGCTATTTCTAGTTATGATTCAGGTTCTCTTTCTTAATAGAACATGTGGTAATTGTTTCCATATGTTAAATGAACACAACAGTCACATTTAAGGTAATAAGAAGGAAGTTGTACCTCAAAGTCAAGGACAAAAGCGGGCTTCCCAGGCTCCCTGTCCCAGTACTGATCCAGTAAACTGATGTTCTTGATGGTTTTTAAGTATCTTAAATAGACCAAGTGGCTTTTTCCTTTGTTTTAAAGTTGGGATTTTCTTTTCTTTTTTGGTGAAAGAAAAGGGAAACTAGCCTATTGGAACATGAAAGAAGTTCAATAATTGCTATTGGAAGTGCTTCCTCCATTAGGCTGAATTATGGTCCCCAAGATAGCAATTCTGATTCCCACCACCTATAGATGTTTCTTTATGTGTTAAAGAGCCGAGCAAAATGATGTGACTATCTAAGCATCTGAAGATGAGGAGATTATCCTGCATTATCTGTTGTTGTTGTTCAGTTACCAAGTTGTGTCCAGCTTTTTGCATCCCCATGAACTGCAGCACGCTAAGTTCCTTTATCCTTCACTCTCTCCCAGTTTGCTGAAATCATGTCCATTGAGTCAGTGATGCCATCCAACCATCTCATACTCTGTCACTCCCTTCTCCTTTTGCCTTCAATCTTTCCCAGCATGAAAGATTTTTCCAATGAGTCAGCTCTTCGCATCAGGTGGTCAAAAGTATTGGAGCTTTAGCTTCAGCATCAGTCCTTCCAGTGAATATTCATGACTGATTTCCTTTAGGATAGACTGGTTGGATCTCCTTGCAGTCCAAGGGACTCTGAGGAGTGTTCTCCAACACCACAGTTCAAAAGCATCAATTGTTCAGCGCTCATCTTTCTTTATGGTCCAGCTCTCACTTCCATACATGACTAGTGAAAAAGCCAGAGCTTTGACTACACAGACCTTTGTTGGCAAAGTAATCTCTGCTTTTTAATATGCTGTCTAGGTTGTTCATAGCTTTTCTTCCAAGGAGCAAGCATCTTTTAATTTCATGGCTGCAGTCACCATATGCAGTGATTTTGAAGCCCAAGAAAATAAAGTCTGTCACTGTTTACATTGTTTCCCCGTCTGTTTGCCATGAAGTAATGGGACTGGATGCCTTTTATCTTTGTTTAATGAATGATGAGTTTTAAGCCAGCTTTTTCACTCTCCTCTTTCACTTTCATCAAGAGGCTCTTTAGTTCCTCTTCACTTTCTCCCATCAGAGTGGTATCATCTGCATGTCTGAAGTTGTTATATCTCCTGGCAGTCTTGATTCCAACTTGTGATTCATCCAGCCCAGCATTTTGCATGATGTACTGTGCATATAAATTAAATAAGCAAGGTGACAATATACAGCCTTAACCTATTCCTTTCCCAATTTTGAACCAGTCTGTTGTTCCATGTCTGGTTCTAACTGTTGCTTCTTGACCTGCATTCAGGTTTTTCAAGAGACAGGTAAGGAGGTCTGATATTCCCATCTCTTTAAGAATTTTCCACAATTTGTTGTGATCCACACAGTGGATTGTCACAAAGAAGACTTTAGTATAGTCAATGAAGCAGAAGTAGATGTGTTTCTTTTTGGAGGGAGGGGAGTTCCGTTTGCTTTTTCTGTGATTCAGTGAATGTTGGCAATTTGATCTCTGGTTCCTCTGCCTTTTCTGAATCCAGCTTGCACATCTGGAAGCTCTTGGTTTACATACTGTCGAAGCCTAGCATGTGAATGAATGCAATTGGGTGGTAGTTTGAACATTTTTTGGCATTGCCCTTCTTTGGGATTGGGATGAAAACTAAACTTTTCCAGTCCTGTGGCCACTGCTGAGTTATCCAAGTTTGCTGACATATTGAGTGCAGCACATTAACAGCATCATCTTTTTGAAATAACTCAGGTGGAGCTATCTTTGTTTATAGTAATACTTCCTAAGGCCTGCTTGACTTCACACTCCAGGATGTATGTCTGTAGGTGAGTGGCCACACCATTGTGGTTATCTGGGTCATTAAGACCTTTTTTGTATAGTTCTTCTGTATATTCTTGCCACCTCTTCTTAAAATCTTGTGCTTCTATTAGGCCCATACCATTTCTGTCCTTTATTGTGCCCATCTGTGCATGAAGCGTTCTCTTGGTATCTCTTATTTTCTTGAAGAGATCTCTCTAGTCTTTCCCATTCTATTATTTTCCTCTATTTCTTTGTATTGTTCACTTAAGAAGCCTTTCTTATCTCTCCCTGCTATTCTCTGGAACTCTATTCAGTTGTCTATATCTTTGCCTTTCTTCTTTTCATTTCTCCTCTTTTCTCAGCTCCGTGTAAGGCCTCCTCAGGCAACCGCTTTGCCTTCTTGCATTTCTTTTTCTTGGGGATGTTTTTGGTCACCACATCCTGTTCAGTGTTACGAGCCTCCATCTATAGTTCTTCAGGCACTCTGTCTACCAGATCTAACCCCTTGAATCTGTTCATCACATCCACTGTATAATCATAATGGGTTTGATTTAGGTCATACCTGTATGGTCTGCTTTCTTCAGTTTAAGCCTGAATTTTGCAGTAAGGAACTCATGATCTGAACCAGTCAGATCCAGGTCTTGTTTTTGCTGACTGCAGAAATGTACATTGATCTATCAATTCTACCTCTAGGAATTTATCCTAATGAAACAGAAGTCCAAAAGTTTTATATAGGAGCATGTTGATTGTACTATTGCTGGCATCAGAAAGAGATAAGAAACAAAAAACTAATGTCTAAAGTAGGATTGATTAAATTCCAGTTCGTTCATGTAATGAAATACTATAAAGATATTGAAGAATCATGTAAGGATATTTAAATAGCACATTAAACTATTTGTAGTAATTTTAGGTTAAGAAAAGTGTCTTCTCCAAAAGTGTGAATTGTTAATAGTGTTCAGTTTATTCTGATATAATGTATGATTTGTGTTTTCCCTTTGGATTTTCTGTATTTTAGAAATTTTCATGTTGTAGGTACACTTAGGGATACAACTATAAAATAATGCAATAAATGCTGTCTTAAAGAAGTTTGTATAGGATCAGTATTTATGACTCAGTCTTTTTTTTTAAAATTGAACTGTAGTTGATTTACAATGTTGTGTTAATTTCTGCTGTATAGCAACGTGAGTCAGTTACATACATGTTTATATATACACACATTCTTTTTCATATTCTTTTCCATTATCATTTATCATAGGTTATTGAACATAGTTCCCTGTGCTGTACAATAGATCCTTGTTGTTCATTCATTCTGCTAACCCCAAACTTCCTATCCTTCCCTCCACTTGTCCCCTCCCCTTTGGCAACAAGTATGATAATCTCTAGGTCCATCCATGTTGTTGCAAGTGGCATTATTTCATTCTTTTTTAGGGCTGAGTAATATTCTGTTGTTTATAGGTACCACATTTCTGTATCCATTCATCTGTTGATGGACATTTGAGGCTCAGTCTTAAACTGGACGGCTGAACTATGTAAATTTTTCTCAGTTCTTATTACAAAATAGAGTACATTTCCTTCAGAAAACACAGCCAAAAAAAAAATATATATATATAAAAAATATCCATAGTCTTATTATCCTAAAACATTCACAGTTAACACACATATGTGTTATGAGCTGTGTGTGTGTATATATATGTATGTATATGTATATACACACACACATACATATATATAAAATAAATATATAAAATTTCTGTTCAAACTATATACATATAATTTAAAATATGAGTTGGAAAACTTTCTGTAAAAGTCTGGTGGTAAAGATTTTAAACTTTAAGTGAAGTAAGTGAAAGTTGCTCAGTCATGTCTGACTCTTTGCAACCCCAGAATTCTTCAGGCCAGAATACTGGAGTGGGTAGCTGTTTCCTTCTCCAGGGGATCTTCCCAACCCAGGGATTGAACCCAGGTCTCCCGCATTGCGGGCGGATTCTTTACCAGCTGAACCGTAAGGGAAGCCCAAGAATGCTGGAGTGGGTAGCCTATCCCTTCTCCAGTGGATCTTCCCAACCCAGGAATCGAACCGGGGTCTCCTGCATTACAGGCGGATTCTTTACCAGCTGAGCTATCAGGGAAGCCCTCTGCCTGCTACATATTGTTTCTGCCAAGCAATTTCCTTTTTATTTGTTTTTCCTTCCCAGTCTCCCTCCTCTCTTCACTTTTTCAAACCTTCAAAAATGTAAAAATTGTTTTCAGCTTACAGGCCGTAAAAAAATAGAACAAAGGCTGGGCTGTCATTACCATCCCTGATGTAAATTATGTAATACATTTCTTTTAACGAGCTTGAGAGAAGAAGAGCTTGTGACACTTTTGCAAAGTATTATTTAGCAACAGTGAAATAAATTACTAAAATGTGATCAGAAACACTAGATCTATGTGGGTGTTGCCCAGACTAGCCATTGGGCATTTGGGGCTCTGTGCTTTTGCTGGAGTTTTATTTGGATGATGATTGAAGGAGTTGTAGAAAATGGGTCATTGGAAAGGTCTTAAAACTGTATTGACTTCCTTCTTTTCTTTGTCCCTGAATAAAACGTTATTGGAGAATAATATCTCTGGGACCTGGCACCATGAGAGTGGGGCTCCTCGAGTGGCTCAGTGGTAAAGAATCCGCCTGCCAGTGCAGAAGACAAGAAATGGGGGTTCTGTCCCTGGGCTGGGGAGATCCCTGGAGTAGGAAATGGCAACCTGCTCCAGTATTCTTGCCTGGAGAATTCCATGGCAAGTGGAGCCTGGGGCTACAGTCCGTGAGGTCACAAAGAGTCAGACACACCTGAGCGAGTGAACACACCATGTTGGAGAATAGAAGTAATGGTTGCTGTGTGTCATTGAAATTAATTTCTATCACGTAAGTCATAGGGTAGGATGTGTGCATCCTGTCTTCAGTGCTACATGGCTAATTTAGCAAAAGTACCATATAGTGAATGAGATGTGATGAATTTTCTGTCAGATGAATAAAATGACCTTTGACTTTCCTTTCTAGATATGCTCAGTGAAGGAACGGCATGCCAGTGAAATGAGGGACTTGCCCAACCGATACGTTGAAATAGGTATGCCTTCTGTGGTATAAACCTTCAAAAGAGAATCCATGTTATGAGGAGGGGACCTAAGGCCATGTTCTTCAGGGCTCACCATTGGCACCTTGATGAAATAGATCAAGAAGCTTTTGAGTTTCGAAACTTGGCTGTAGAGACCTTTCATCCTAACTCTATTTCGAGTTTTTAACAGTACTTTTGTAATTGGCTTTGACATTAAATAACCATGGGCTTGGGGTGCTGGTTCTATTATTTACTACCTGAACTTTGGACAGATGTCCACGTGCCTCAATATTCCCATCTATAAAATGCTGAAAAGAATATGCGTCCCATAGGTTGTTTGCGAAAATTCCAAGAGTCCATGCACAGCACTCACATTTGGTCCTGATTCCTTATGCTTCTAAATGTTTACTTTCCTCACCACTGGTCTGGTCCAAGCTGCCATGGTCTTTTATCTGGATCACTGCAGCAGACACCTAACTGGTTCATCTCTTTGCACCATGAATTACTGTGCGCTAGTCCCCCGACTGCAGTCAGAGTACAAATCAGACAGTGTCACCACTCTTCAGTCCCTTCCCAGTGTTCTTAGATAAAGGTGAGACTCCTTAAGTTGACCGTGGGGATCTGCACTGGCACTCACCTGCCTTCCTAACTTCACCTCATAACAAGCGTCTCTTTTGTCTCTGTGTTCCAGCCACACTGGCTTTCTTCCACACACCAATGCTGCTCTCTGCTTCTTCTCGTCTCTCTAGAATGTTTGACTTGCCTCTTTTTGCTTATGGATCCCTTATCACCTTTAATTAAACCTCAGCTCAAATGTTGCTTTCCTGGGAAAGCCCACAGGCCATCCCTAAGCAGGTCACATCCCCCTGTGATGGACATGTAGCATTTCCTTTCTGGATGTTGTTTGAGTTGCAGTGATCATGTGATTATTTGGTGCATTTCTGTCCCTTCCATCAGAACTGTAGCCTCCTTGTTTTTGCTCAGTGTTTATTTCTCACGGGTCTGGCACCATGCATGACACATAGCAGGTACAAAGTAATATTAGGTTGAATGAATCAGTGACTCTGGGAAACAAGTAACTTGAGTTTTATGACCTAGTGCCAAAGTTATTCATATAGAAAAGGTGAAAACTGACTGACATTTGTCAATTAAACAAATAGAATAAAAACTTTTTGTATTATTTAGTACTGAGCAACAAAAGACAGTTTTGTGACCCAAAAAAAGAAAAAGGTTTGCCATGTTATGTGTCAGGTAAATAGTTTGTTTACCCATTTGGATGGGAGATGAGGAATATACATTTGATGGGTTGTTACAGACAGGGAGAAGCTGAGATAAATCATTTGCATAAGACTGTATTCCTACAAACAGAAAGATATTCCCACCTGACTAATATGTTTGTAACATTTAAATATTTTATACTTGAAGTCGTAAATTGGTGGTAGGGTTTTGATCATTGTAGTTGTGGTTTGCCTTAGAAGGATAAATGAATATATAAATTCACGGTTTGGATTGCTTGGAGTATGGACAAATAGGTGTATGCAGAATATAATGGTACTGAGAAAAACTGAGTAACCTGATAAAAAGGCAGAACTAGAAGATAACAATAGTTATTTCAGTCTGTCTTCTTTCCTGCCTCTCCCATGCCCACCAGTAAAAACCTGAGAGTCTCAGTGCTGTGTCCCAAGAGATAAGTAGGAGGATATTTTAAATGCAGGTAAATAAAAAAGGGCAATAACTCAGAATTTTAGGATGTGAAAATTACCTGAAAGGCATGAAAAGGTAGCAGTGTCATCTTTTCTCCTTACTTGGTATTATTACTCAAGTACTGGGTATGGGGCATTGTGCTATGTGTACTGTCTGCTTTAGTCCTCTTCACCATCACAGCAGCCCTTTGAAGGGCAGGTAGTAGTCGTCTTATTCTATAGATGAAAAACACTGAGGCTCATGGTGGTAAATAACTCATCCAAGATCTTATTGCTGTACATTAAAATGGATAGACTCTAACCCCACAGAATGACCAAGCAAGGAGACCAGGCAGTTTGCCGAATTCCTGTCTGATCTTGATAAGTACTTTAATGTCCCTGAGCTAGACTTTCTTCACTTGTAAAATGGAGATTAGGGACTTCCTTAGTGGCCCAGACTTCCGCTGCAGGGGCACGGGTTCTGTCCATGGTCTGGAAAGTAGATCCCATGTGCCTCATGGTGTGGCCAAAAAAAAAAAAATTTTTTTTAGTGAAAAATGAAATAAAATGAAGATGATGAGACCTACCATTCCAGATGGCTGGGAGAATTAGGTGTGAGTAAGGAAAGTCTGCAACACACTCCTTGGCATACAGTAGGTGCTCACTGAACCACAGTGGTTATCATCACTGTGCAGACTTTCATCCCAGCTCCTCAACTGCTAATAGCTAGAGCCCTGGGATCACATTTTTAAAGTGTAGTTCATCCGTACTGCAATTTCCGTGAAATAGACCATGTGTGGGTACCAACAATATCACATTACAGACATTTTACTACTGTGGTTAGTGGTTAAGTACCATTTTTTTTCCCCTCTTGAGAGCAAACCTTTAAGAATATAAACCATTTCCACAGCAGGAGGCAAAGTGGTTTGGATAAGAGTCCTTGACTAGGATAAAGGAAAAGAGAAATATTAGCACGTTTGGATTACAATTTGCTCTAGCCCTAGACAGTATAAGCCACTGTTCTTTACTCAATGAGGTGAAAATGGCATTGAAATGAAAGAAATGTCTGTGGCTGTACATTTCTTAGAAGCCAGATGTTTATAGCTCTTCCTTACAAGGCAAAATCTCAAAAACAATGTAAAAGTTATTCCTCTCAATAAGATATTAATTTATTCTTGTAAGCGAAAGATGATAGTAAATATGAAGCTTACTAGCCAGTCTCCAACCCATGAAGACATAAGGTTACTTAAGACTTTTTAGATGTCATTTATTCTTCCATATTACAGTGTTAAAAATAAAATATGTTGTGGTCCATGACTGCTTTACTTATTTTAACTTAACTTGGGTATCTTGTCACGGGACTCCCTAACCCTCTGGTATTTTTCATAATAAAATGTTGGGGGAAAATATTCAGTACAGAAGAATTAGTAGATTATAGAGATAATCAAACTGAATTCTAACAGAGCAGAAAACCATACAGAGCTAGATCCTTAAGCACCAACACCCTGAACTGTCCTGATTCCCGTTGAGATTTGGACACAGAGATGGAACTTTTCACCACAGTCATCCTTGGTCCTAATGGAATGGTAACTGGGAGCTGATATTATATTGTTGGGAAATGAATCCAATATTGGTCTGTCATTTGGGGGGCATCTCCTGTCAGGGGCAGATAATTTACATGCAAGGAATTAACAATTAACTCCCTAGTCTTGATCTCATGTGGGAATTTGTTTCAAAAAAATAATAAGAGAAAATCTATATGGGAAGCTGTGTAGAATGGGAGGAGCCAGGAAGATAGGGAGGAGAAAAGCAAGGGACATCTTTTTCACTTTAATTAAACGGAGTCCATATCTTCAGTTGACTATATGCTGTGGCTCTATTTAGTACATTGTTCTGTTTTCAGCCTCTTGATTGGGAAAACAGTGACTTGGAAATTGAAGGGCTTTTTGCATAACACAAGAGAGCTATGAAATTAATACCCTTCTTAGACCTAACTGTCTCTCCAGCCACCTGTTAGCGTTCTGACCCAGACACACTGGTTCCAGCAGTGGGACAGTTCTTCTGTGCACGAGAGTAACAAGGTTTATCTCCATGTCCCAGTCTCAGCAGGAATCAGGATAGTTCAAGGTGTTTTGCTTACAGGTTTAACTCTGTGTGGTTTCTGTTCTCTTAGAATTTAGTTCAATTCTCTCTCATCTATTAATTCTAATCTTCTGCCCTTAATTTTTCCCAGCAGTTTATTATGACAATTATTAAACATACAAAAAAGTAAAGAATTTTACTGCGGGTTCCTATTTACTCACCTCCTCGACTCACCTCCTTGATTCTGCAATTAAGGTTTTATTGTGCTTGTTTTATTACGTGTCCGTTCTTCTGTCCGTTCCCCCTCTTCCTTCTCACTCAGTGCTGGAGGCGCAAATGTTTCTTGCAAGTAGAATGAATAAATTTTCTCCACAGTAAGAAGTGGTAAGAAATCTGAAGCACCTGAAGTAAGAAGTGTATTTTGTTCATTTTATAATCACCACCACCAGGCACATGCTACATGCATTACAAACAGAATTTCATTTAATCTTCACAGTGATTCCAGTGGAGGGGGTTGTTATCCCATTTTACAGGTGAAGAGGCTGAGGTTCAGAGGGATCAAGTAACCTGCTTAAGATGATGACTTCAAAAGCAGAGAAGGCAGCATTTGAACCCAGATAAGTCTAGTGTCAAAGCTGTTGCCTCTTAACTGCTGTGCCATGCATTGTTTCCTGCATGCCTTCAGCCTAACCCCTGCCCTCATTTGCAGCCAGAGTAACTGATGAAAAGCAGTTTGCTCTGGGCACTCGGATACAAACCATGGGGTAGAAATTCTATGAAGACTCTAAATATGCCAGTGAGGACGTCTGCTTACCTGTTCTTCAAATAGCCAGATAAAATGGAAATGCAGTACATTTGTTTTTGTTTTTGTTTTATTTGGGGTCAGTGAAGTGTCTCATTTAGAAAAGTAGAAATGTTATTTCCCCTTATTGTATTCTGGGACTGACAGCCCGTCATTATTTTCTCAGAGAACTCTAGAACCTAGTTGCCTTGGATCGCTAGTCAAAATTGTTTCTGAGGAAAGGGAATCACATCCAGATTGGGATGGGATTCTTGCAGCCCTTTGGAAAAGAGGAGAAACTCTTATGTGCGCTTTCTTAGTGTTTGACATAAGTTTAGTTGGTGCATCAAGGTAGTTCTGGAAACTTTTGTGGGGGTGCAGGTGGTTAGGTCTCTGAATTTTTTTTATTTTGTTATGGTAAGAACACTTCACATGAGAGCTACTGTCTTAATAAATTTTTTAAGGGC